GCAATAGTTATCGGGAAGGCAAATATAGAATATAGCAAGTTAGTCTGGCAAGTTATAACATCTTAAAAATATTTTTTCTCTCATAATAAACAAGGCAACTATATATATTACAATACCAAAAATGAGGCTCAGTCCAAATGAAATATACTATGAGAGCCATTCTTCATGACTGGTGTACAGAAAATGTTCCATATTAAGTGAGCATTAAAAGGAAAAAATTAGAGCTAGAATTATGAATCCAACATAGACTAACTCGACTCAATGGAACAATTTCAAGACAATCATAAATTATGATAAATCTAAATGAAATATAGGCAAAGAACTCAGAATCACTGTACCAAGAAACCTCAGCCCACAAAAACCCTTTCCAAATCTCACCGAACTCTAAAGCTGGGGCTCTAGCTGTTTTTCTAATTTCATCTACATAAAAATACTTTAAGCTACTGATGTTTGGTAGCTTAATGGTTTCAATTGGCAGGACACTGTATCACTACTGACTTCATGACAGATTTCAAACTTTCAATGCTAACTAATTGCTATTGAGTCGGAACCAATTCCCAGCTGATCCTCCAGCAGATTTTCAGAGGCCTATACAAAGTTCTGAAAAGCAAGGATGTTTTTAAGTATCAAGGTACACCTGATCTAAGCTTTATTATTTGTAATAGCTTCCTATGCATCTGGGCAATAAGGAAGAATGAAGAAGAATCAATACTTTTGAATTGTAATATTGGCACACAGTATTGAATTTATTTTGGATTTCCAACAGAAAACACAAATCATCCCCCCCGCCCTCCCGCCATCCCCGAACACCTACTACAATTTTAATAACAAGGCAGAATCTGGGGTTGGTTCTTACAGCCCTGGCTGGCTCTTTGGCCTCGGGCTCTCTCGAACTTCCGGCCCTTGGAGTGGACGTAGGGTTTGGTGTGGCTGTGCGGGGTGCCTGGCACCTTGCTGTACACCTCTCGGCCCTGGCGGCCCTGACAGCAGCATGGTGCTGCAGCCCTTGGGTGAGTCCAGGGCGCTGTTCGATGGCGAGGATCTTGCCTCCAGCATTGCGCATGAGGCTCCCAGCTGGCTGCTCACGTACAGAGCACACAACTTCAGCTTGGCCACCTCCTGAACACACACGTCATCTGTTATGGTCCCAATCACCACAGCTGTTTTGTGGCCAAGGAAGTTTCATCTTTTGGACCATCCGAGAAAGGGAAGGGGTGGCCGGTTGTTGCACCTCAGGAACAGCCTCTTCAGCACAGCCAGGTGTAAGGTGGAGTTCGTTTGTCTGGCAAGGAACCTGTAGAGCTTAACCAAAAGCCAGAGGAAGATGTCCTGGCTCTTGGGATCCTTGCAACGGACCTTTCTATCCTTGCTACGGATCTATCCTTGCTGAGGTCAACTCCCATGATGGCGCCTCCTGCCATCTTGAAATCATCTTGAAGGAAGTTTAACCAGAGTGCTCCTTAGAGGCAAGGATGGTGAAACTTCATCTCACCTTGGAAATCTTTTTCAGGATGAATCAGTCATTGGAGTGAAACATCATGCTGAGATAGGTAAAAAGTCAGCCGAAGAGAGGAAGACCCTCAATGAGATAAATTGATGTTATGTCACCTGCGACTCATAGCGATCCTATGTACAACAGCTCTGAAGGCTGCCCTGTCCTGAGCCAGTCTCAGTGACTTTGATATACCTAACCCCACTGCCCTAGTTACAGTATCTATCCACCTCATCCGGAGTCTTCCTCTCCTGCGCTGCCTATTCACCTTTCCAACCATGATGTCATCCTCCAAGGACTGGTCCTTCTTGGCCACATGCCCAAAGTATGTGAGACAGAGATTCAAAATCTCAGCCCCTAAGGAGAAACTTGGTTTCACCCTCACAATGACAACCTATTTTTTTTCTTGGCAGTCCATGGTATGTTCAAGCTCTTCTACAGCACCACAACTCCATAATGGGTTTGAGCATGACAGAGGTCATGAGGATGGTGCAGGATACTGGAAGGTTCCAATCTATTACTCACAGGGTTGGTGTTAAGTTGCAGTCATCTTGATGGTATATAACAAATCACATGGGAGGATACTGCCCATTGCCTCCCATGGAGCAACGGATAGATTTAAACCTCTTGCTTTTGGTTGGCAGCACACAGCTCCTTACTCACTATGCCACTAGAGCCCCTTCTTCAAATATTAGCAGTCAAAATATTTTTATTCAAAAGTAAAATGCTATTGTTATTTCCTAAGTTTTACAAAAACATATAAACATATGACACAGTTTTAAAGGTGAGTCTCTAACATTAACTCTCTTGGTACTTCTTGTGGTTAGATGCCATCAAATCGTAGGTGACTCATAGCGACCCTATGAATGAAAGACCTGAACATATGTATAATTTTCATCCTTTCTCCAGGTTCATAGAGTTTCAAGAGGCAAGCTATTTCAGAAGTGGATGCCCCTCCTGCTTCCAAGCTTGTTTTAATTGAGGAGCTCCACCAAACACTGTCCACCATGGGTAACCATTATCACATCTGACATATCAGTGTCATAGTATTTAGCGTCACAGCAACCACGACTCTTGGTACAAGCAGTGAAGAAATCAAGTTTTGTTGCACTGGGAAAGTCTGCTGCAAAGGATCTCTCCAAAATACTAAGTAGCAATCATATCAGTTTAATGACTATGGTGCACCTGATCCAGGCCATGGTCTTTTCAATCACTTGCAATGCATCTGAGAGCTGGACAATGAACAAGATAATAGAAAAAGAATCATTGTCTTTGAGTTGTGATGTTGGAAAAGAGTGTTGAGTATTTCACAGACTGCAAAAAGAATGAATAGATACGTTCTGGAGACAGTGCCCCATGAAGGCAAGGATGATGAAGCTCTGTCTCACATACTCTGTGCTTGTTGCTAAGAGAGGGTTATCCTTGGAAAAGGATATCATGCTCAGAAAGATAGAGGGTCAGCAAAGGAGGAAAACCCTCAAGTAGATACACTAACATGGTGTAGTTCTGGGCTCTAGCGTGCGAGAGTTGATGAGGATGGTGCAGGATAGGACAGGATTCAGATTTGTTGTTCATAGAGTCACTATGAGTTGTATTCAACTTGACAGCACCTAATAAGAGCAGCTGTCTTTCCCTTTAACCTGATGGTAGCACTCTTAATAATTTTTTCCTTCCCCAGAAAGCTCATCATATTTTGTATAAAATTTCAAAAAAGTAGACTTAAAAATTCTGGAAATAGAGTTCATCGGGGAATGTGAGTGGACTGCAAAGGCAGAGGTGCTTGCAGGCATCAGCCCTGTGCTGTAGACAAAGCTCCAGAGTGAGCTGGAGCTCTGGCTCACAAGGCCTACCTTCTCTTCACTTACATCTGCCGGTGCATTTGAGGAACAAGAAAATGTTAACAGTCCTGTTTGCACTTTCCAGTTCACAGCTTGTAAATATAGATAACCTTCCATAGTTTGTCCTATGAAAAGTAATTGTCCTGGTCAATACGTAGTCCCCAAAACGTTTCATTCTCTTTTACTGTTACACATGACCTACAATGTTTTAATGAACATATCCTCTTCTTTTTTACTTATTTTACTATTTTTTTAAATGAGGCTGTATACAAAGGGGAAGTGATTAGCACACATCATCTTAAAGCCAATTTTTCTGTATCAAAAGGTAAATTTTCAATGGATTTTAAAATGATATAAAAGTATGAGAAAATAGAGGTTTTTCTGAATATTTATAGTATTATTTATTTATTTATTTATTTATTAAATAAGGGAGAGTGCGAACACAGTCCTCCACTACCACAATTTATGCAGTCGAGTTTCCCAGATTTGGGGAAATGGTAGGGATCAGCACATCTGGAGTGCAATGGATGAGCCTCGCCCTGGGAAACGGCCTTTGTGATCATGGTATCTCTCCTACCAGGTAAGTATGTATATCTAGAATAGTCTTAATAAAACCAGTAACTAACTAAGTTAGCAAAGAAATACTATAGGGGGGGAAAGGCCAATATCTTAATTATATGAGTTTACAACTTTCTACAATTAAGTTTATATAATGAGTAGTTAATTTTCAGAGCAGTTTCAGTCCCTCAGTGTTAGGCATCAAGATTTGTAAAGGAACAATGAGATTCAAAGACTTTATAATAAACCTTGTAATCAGAACTCTAACAAAGTAGATAAAAATCACAAGGAAGGAGATATTTTATTTCATAACATAAAGTGCTGTTGCTGTTATTAAGCATAACAATTATTTTTCTTGGAGTTAACTACTCTCTAACACAATTTAAGTATTTTTCAGATTTGAAAGTTATTTTTCTTTCACTAAACCCTGCTGCTGTTTTGCATAATCTAACATTAAAAATCTTTACTTAAGAATTAAAACAAAAAGCCAACCTCTCAGCATATGAACTTTAAGATCACAAATACGTTCCCATTAAAAGTCCAAAGGCAAATAAGAGTCATATGCGAGTTTATTTATTATTCAGAGATAATTCCATGATGACAGTTGTCAATAATCAATTATGATACCAGGACATTCAGAGAAAAACATTTTTTCAGCAGCCTTGCTGTTTATGCACTTAATTCTAAAATGCATACTATCCCATTTTCACATACCACGCTGGGAGACCAGACTGCTAAGTTCTGCTCCCTGCTGAAGAGATGATGATTTCCAATGAACTTGAAATGTCCAATTCATGCCCATCATTTTTGAGAAAGGGAAGGAAGATAACAAGGCCAAAGAAGTAGCAGGACAGAGAAAATGCCACAAGGATTCAAGAGGTGTGATAACTGACAGTAAAATATATGTTCTTTGGTTAGCAAAGCGAAAAGGGGAAAGAACTGCATCCATGATAGATACACACTAGCATTCTAAAGCAGGAGACAAGAATGTCAAGAGTGTATTCTTCCCCCATTGCCAGATGGAAGGGCTATTATTATAAATGAAAGGCAGCAGTAGTGGATGCCAGGCACTTTTGCTGTGTGCCAGATTCTGAAGTCCAGATGTAAGCAGGTTACCCCTGGGACAGGACAGGCTTCAGCTCCCGCAGCAGAACAGAACCAATCACGGTTTTCTCAGTGTTTATGATAAGCTGTGCTGTGGGGCCTTCCTTCAGTTCCACTGTGACTAGCATCAGTGACCCACTGTGCACAGTTTTAGCTGCAAACCTGGAAGAAAAAAAAAGAGAGAGAAGGTGAGAGAAAGAGATCTTTTATCATGAGAGGGGGTAGAAAGAAGACCGCATAAACTCAAATAGGTTTAAATTAACTGTTTTCCTCAAATGAAAGAATTTATTACAGGTTGACTCCCTACTGCCGAAACCTCCAAAGCCAAGCATTCCTCCAAAAAAACCCCCCAATAACCTGCCCAGCACCATGCTTACCATGAGCCACGCATTTTAGTGCATCTTTAAAACAGAATGAAAAAAGGAAGTCTTATTTTGCCTATTAGTTTGAATTAGGGATGCAAGTGGATAATTAATTCTCTGTTACGATATAGTAAAGAAACATTCATTTTGTTCTTGAATATTTTACCATGCACAGGGCCATTTAAAATAGCCCAATACATTTTTATTTTTAAAACATGTTAAGAAAAGGTACCTTTCTCAAAGAACTTGAAATTTTAATTCCTCATATCTGAAAATGATTATGCAAGAAGTTAAATAATTTTATGTATATTATAAAACTTTTATTAAGTTGCAATGAACTCACTTATGTTAAAATATTCAAATTCTACCTCTACCTATGATGACATGCAATGATATCACGTGACAACCCAGTGCCACATCATGCTTCCTTTTTTGAATGTTGGGAACATTACATCCTGCCAGGCAACCCCCTTTTTCTTCTGCTTTCAATTGTAACAGAGGAAACTTAAGGTCTAATGCTCCATTACGGAATTCCAAGACATGAAGAACCTACCAATTATACAGAATTAAAAGCAAAACTAGCCTTTTAAGCACTGCAATTGACTGAAAAGCTGTTAGAGGCACAATGAATTTCTGTCAATCCTGCTAATTCATTCTGCAAGTACAGTCAAGCCCCAGAGACGTGAGAGGAGAGGATGGGTACCCCGCTAGGTCTCCATTTTCCACAAGGAGTGGGTCCCTCACATTTCTGGGGGCGGGGGTTTGATTGCAAGGATGACTGGAGAAAAACAAAGTTGCTGCCTAGGAGCTTTTGAAAACACTAACAAGTGTAGAGCAGGTCTGTGACCTGCTGTGACCCCACTTTGCAGGGCCAATCCCCTTTCCCCTTTCTGTATGACACGTGTCTGAATCTGAGCCATCTGCCTCAATTTGCGCAACATCTTCAGCCACAATGGCACCCAGTTAGCCCTGACAACAGCTCACAATACACACAAATAAAACTGTGGCGCTGACAGCACACTGTGGACCATTCAAGAGCAAACCAAATGGTCAGTGTCTCATGTCTGACAATTAGCTTGGGCTTTGCACGGAGCCCACAGCATCCTTGGGGATCTGTTTAATTACCATCAACATAAAAGAGGGAGTTTATCAGGAGACACTCAAAAAACTTCACTCCTTACTTAATTAAAATATTAGCCACTTAAGCAGGAAGCAGATTCTCTTTAAATGAAAAGTAATTCCTTTTCTTAGAAATTTTTTGTAATGGTATCAAAAATCTCATAACACATTACGTTCTGTTTTTAGAAACCTGACGTTTTTCTTTGCCTGAATATAATCATGAAAACCAGTTTCCCAACAATAATTATAATAACTCATCAAAAGCAAAACCATAGGCTAAGTTTTACTAAACTGAAAATATCAACACCTTTACGTTGCGTTTAAATTGTCAGGCAATGGTCTGTTGACTACCTCCGTTAGAAACCTTCCAGGCATGTATCTCTGCATGTGCTGGGAAGCTATTCTGTATAAACATGCTGAAGGCTCATCAAAGAATCCAACAGAACAATGTTCCCACACACACACACAAAAGTGCAATTTAAGTAGCCAAGTTTAAAAATATCACCTGTATTAGTATTTTAAAGGAGTTTTTATAAAGCTCTTAACACATTTATTGCTCAGTTTTCATACACAGAAGAGGAAAGACTTTCATTTTTGAGAGAGCACCAAGCTCCCAACAGACCTCTCTTTTACACTGTCTCTTGCATTTTATGCAGGTTTATACATTTCCTTTGTCTACATTTCTGAGGTTCTGCTTCCTAAGAGAATCCTGCGTCTATGTTTCTGTTAAATCTGCCCCAAATGATACTTGGTGGCTCTATTATCCTATAATCTACACATCTTTGTCCATAGGTATGGTCATTGTATCCACAATTCATACAACAAATATTCAATGAGAAGTTACAACTTCTGACAGGGTTTAAATCATGTCAACAATAAACTTATTAGTCTCTTTATTTACGTAACACAAGTGCCCTGGGATGGAAAAAGGCAATTATGTTTGAAAGGGAGCACAAAAATACTGCTGTTTGCATTTTATGATTGTATAGGCTCAAGGTATAGTTTCTTTTTGAACTATTTTCTGTTAAAACTTAGAGCCAGTACTATAATAATGCAGCTTAAGCAAAGATTAAAACTTATTTTGGTGTCAGTGTATTTAAACAAATTAAAATGAGTTCTTGCATATACTTTAGAAATCCTGTTCCCACAAAATTACCAAATGGTAAGCAAGAACTTGAAAGAAAAGAGGGATTTGCTTAATTTCAAAATGTGCTAATTACTCCAGCAATAAAATCTGCCCTTTAACTAGGTCTCTCGGTTCTAGTGGCCACATTTAGACACAGGGTTTTAAACCAGACGGCTAGATGATCAGATGTTCTGACATTCTCATTTTACAGTTCAAAAAAGGATGTATTTAATTGGAACAGTGTGATTACAACTGGTTTGTTTTGGTTCATGTTAAGCAAAAGTGATCCTCCCAAACTTTACTAATGATTTAACTCCCAAACAGGCTATGCTTTAACACAAACTGTAAAGATATTTATGGACAGAGTCCTAGTAAATAAACAACAAATAACTGACTTGTGGATACAAGATACACTGATTATAAAGGCAGCTTGGGTCAAATACTGATACGATCAATTTAATGGCTCATGTTAAGAACCTCTGTTCTTGGCCTCAAACTATGATCTCATTGTGACAAAACATTTTTTTCGAAGCACTGAAGTTTGAGATCACAACAATAACAGCTCCCATTTATTAAGCGCTCACTGTATGGAAAGAGGTGGTCCCTACATGCACTATCACGTGTGATCGTGAAAGGCAGGCACTTTCATACCATTTTATACATGAGAAACATGAAGCCCACAGAAGTTGAGGCACTTGCTTAGTAGGCCAAACAGCCACTGAGTAGTTAAGCCAGAATCTGAGCCCAAACATTGTGATTCTAGATCACATACTTTCTTTTAATATACAGAAAAATGTACCATTAATATTTTCATCTGTTAACATATAAATGAAGGCTTTTTCTACTAGTCTCTTATGTATGAAAACTATTTCACTCCAAGAACCTAAGATTTTTCTCTTAAAAAAATACTGTAATCTGGGAAAAAAAGGGTAAAATGGGCAAAGTCTAATGGTAATTAATTTTATAAAACATAATGCAAGAGAAAGATTGCTATGAAACACAGTATGAATGACAACAGTGTGAAACACAATGTATATAAACTTTGTAAACAAGCCAATTAAAAAAGGTTAAAACAAAAAATACCATATTGATGTCTGTAGGATTCTGTGACTTAAAAGTAGCATAATTTGGTGCTTTGCCAAAACACATTTGTAACTTTTGCCTTTAAATATTTTTAAAATTTTAAATCCATCCAGCCCCCACCCAAAATACACATACATCCTAAAAAGAGATAAGCATAAAAGATCATAAAACCCTCCTGAAGGGAGGGAGGGACTACAGGGAAACCAGTCAACCGAAAAAAACCAGTAATAACACAAATGAAAGTGGGATGACTGTTGGGGTTTTTTGCATTGCCTATATATTACAAACTCCAAATACCATTTGTAGGTATTTTTCATTTAATTCTACCATCAAGAACTCACTGTTGTATTCACCAAACCAGAAGGTACAACTCTTTGGATACACAGCAACTCATCATATTAAATATCTTTTGTCTGGTATCTTAAGTAATTGACATTTAGTTTTTAAAATGTACAGGAATTCTTAAAATATAAGGGGGGGGGAGAGTTACCTGGTTGCTAATTCTAAAATAAAGTATTGTCACTCTTCTGAAAACATTATTTTGTTTTAATAATTGACAGTATTATGAAAACAGCTCAAATAATGACAAATTTCAACAAATATCTGTAATACATGGACTTATGCCTCACATATTTAAAACATACCTTCTTTTTTTTAACTCTGAGAAACTGGCTATGGACCATAGATGTTCTTTGTTTGAAGGGAGACAGACCCTACAGCAAAACTGTTTTAGTAAGTAAAATGCTAATAGTATAACATGAATTTAAAAATATTTATCTGAAAGCCTGCCTCCATCTCCAGGGTACTCACAAACACAAATTTTTTACACTGAATCAGACTGGCTCCACTTAATGCAACAGCTCTAAGACATGCTTTTTCTTCTCTTGGACAGTCTTCCTGGTTTCTGATTTTTCTATTCTGAGTTCAATTTTCTCATGTTTTCTGTTCTACTGGTTACCAGAAGCTGTGACAATGGCCCACTCAGGCTAAACTTTTTTTTCCCTTGCTCTGTACATGAAGCCTTCAATTACTGCCTGCTGAAGCAGACAGAATCCTATTAGTAAGAAAGACGATCACAGGATGCAGTGCCCTGCCCTAGCTGTATAAAAATAATTAGTCCAAAGTTGACAAATGTGTAATGAAGTCTCACACTGATTATATGTAAGGAATAATGGTTTGAATAAGCTTCTGAAGCCAAATACCAAAGTATGAGGATTTGAAGCACTATTTTTCAAAGAACTAAAAATGAAAAATCTTTATTACCCTGAGTTACTACAGAAGAGCTTTTTAATAGGCAGAAATATTTTAAAGTTGTGTAAAAAAACCATACACACCACTTTGTTAACCACAGAATTGTATTTTAATGTTAAGCTTTAATGAAGGAGGGGAAAACCTCTAATTAAACAAAATTCAGGTTTACAGAATTCCTTGAAAACAATTGTTTCTTACCAATAAAAAAACAACCAACCAAA